CGTGACACCCAAAGTACAAAAAGTTCACAACACGCCTTTGTTACAATAATTGGAATAAGGTGGTATTGTCAACTTTTTCGCCACTTTGGGTCCTATTTTGTGCTTTGGGTGTCACGAAATATTTGACGCTGACTGTAGGTACTTTTTTGAGCAGTTCTTATTTTTGGAGCCTTAGAATTTAGAACTCTATTGCCCGTTTTCACCATCAATCCCTAATTTTTAAGACAAAACTTTGAAAACAAAATTCCTGTTTTGTGTTACCATAGGGGTCACATAAAAATTAGGGATTGATGATTAATAAATAAGTAATCTTTACCCCATTTGTATTCGGTGGGGTAACTTGAGAAAAGGTTTGGGAACCTATGACCGCAGACATTTTACTGAAATAATATTATTAGGTAATCCGGGGTAATAGGCCGATTATCGAGTGCGTTTTGCACAATATTTCCGCACGCAATGCGTTTTAGTGGTTAGTAGTGAAGTATGTTATCCACTTGGGGGTCTTAGGTTCGATTACGAAAAATCCAACGGTGTGCGCCTACTCTAAAAGTAGGCGCACACCGTTGGATTTTTCGTCGGCCGATAGTTTAGTCGGGCAGTTGATCAGTATGGGCATGTATGGGAGTGCGCACACTACGCCGATTCGATTTGGCCGATTCTTCATACAAATTAAAATCGGGCACAACTATCGGCCAACTAAAAATCAACGGTGTGCGGCCTACTCTTAGCAGAACTACATAGTGATAAGGTTTGAGGAGATTACGGGTTCGATACCCGCACAGTACATACATTTTTTTTTTGTAAATGGACAGTGTGTATACTCGTATTTACTATGTTTTCTTACCTATATGACAAGACAAAGTAAAAATTCTCGTGCTCGACAAATGTTTTGGTTAATGTCGTTTTTAGAGGTTTTCGTGACGACTTACCAGCTATGAAAATCGCATGCACAGGCTTAAGATGTAACAACTTATTGAGTCGTCGTTAATTGTAGGTAAATTAATTATTGTAGTCAAACGGACGACTCAATAATTATTAGGTGTTTTTGTACACGGTGGACTTTGTCCATTACTATAACTGAGGCTTTACAGTAAATAAATGCATCGAAAAAGTTGCCCTAGACCTACCTGCCCCCCTAAACAAGTTGCACTTTTTGATCGAATCGAAAATCGAATCCGTCATAACCGCATAGTAAAAAAAAATAATTAAGTGGCAGTGGGCGGGGCACATAGCTCGTAGAGCTGATGGTCGCTGGGGCAGGAAAGTTCTTGAGTGGCGACCACGAGCCGGAAGACGTAGCGTGGGTAGGCCTCTCACTAGGCGGACCGACGATCTGGTGAAGTTCGCGGGAGGTGCCTGGATGCGAGCGGCGCAGGACCGGTCTTTGTGGAAATCCTTGGGGGAGGCCTTTGTCCAGCAGTGGACGTCTTTCGGCTGAAACGACGACGACGACGACAAAAATAAGGCTTTTCGACCATTTTTCGACTAGTTTACGATTATAATGAGCACTTTGAGACCCACTGACTCAATTAACTAGAACGTAACTTACAACTTTACAAGTTATTTCAATTTTATCGCGCAATCACACGGTTTAGTGGACGCGCGTGTAACGAACGCAGGATGTTGGCCAAGGGACGTTTGTAGTAATTTACATGAATATTAGTGTACCTACTTAGAATGAAAACAATTTAGACTAGGCGCAGACCACCGATTTTTAGTTGACCGATAGTTGTGCCCGATTTTAAATTGTATGAAGAATCGGCCAAATCGAATCGGCGTAATGTGCGCACTTCCATACATGCCCATACTGATCAACTGCCCGACACCACGTTCTGTGGTACTGTCCTCTGTATGAAGACCTGCGGTGGGAGATGCTGAGTGGGATAGCGCTCTCGGAGGGTTACGGTCCTGCGTGGTACCCCGATCTTGTCAGCTCGGAGGCGAACTTCGCGCGGCTGCGAGGTTTCGCGCACGCGTGGCACAGGAGACGGAACGGACAGACGCACTATGGAGCGAAATTGCGATTTATGGACATAGCGATTTTTTTCACAATTTCTATTTGAAAAAAATACCTATCGATAGGTTACGTTATTCTGATGAATAAATGCTGCACAAGTTTTTCTCTAAAACCAATAGTTTGACTGGAAAAAAATATTTTCCATTTTCGTTGTATGGAATGAAACATAAAGTGGTCGATTTCGACTAAGCCTTGACAGATCTTGCTTTGAAACTACTTGAGCCTTGTTCTATGGCTTGTTGACTGTAATCCTACGCTATCAGCGCGCATCCAAAGTTGCCCGTTCACAAGTTATGAGGTTCTGAAAAATTAAAAAAAAGTAAGTAAAAGTGACTTTTTTTTGGAATATCTTTAAAGATTTAACAAAAATATAAAGATTTTATACGTTAATAATGTAAATTAACCTTAAATTACTGCTAAAAACACATTTTAATAAACTTAAAAGGAATTAAATCAGCGATTTTTTTTTCACAATTTCTGTTTAAAAAAAATACCTATCGATAGGGTATGTTATTCTGATGAATAAATATTATGAACGTTTTTCTCTAAAACCAATAGTTTGGCTGGAAAAAAATATTTTCCATTTTCGTTGTATGGAATGAAACATAAAGTGGTCGATTTCGACTAAGCCTTGACAGATTTTGCTTTGAAACTACTTGAGCCTTGTTCTATGGCTTGTTGACTATAATCCTGCACTAACAGCGCGCGCCCAAAGTTGCCCGTTCAGAAGTTATGAGGTTCCGAAAAATGAAAATTAAAGTAAGTAAAATTGACTTTTCTTTAGATAAGACGACAAGAGAAAGGTTAATTACATTACTAAAGTATATAATTTTCATGTTTTAGTTGAATCTTTAAAGATTTATACCCAAAAAAAGACACTTTTACTTACTTTAATTTTCATTTTTCGGAACCTCATAACTTCTGAACGGGCAACTTTGTGCGCGCGCTGTTAGTCTAGGATTATAGTCAACAAGCCATAGAACAAGGCTCAAGTAGTTTCAAAGCAAAATCTGTCAAGGCTTAGTCGAAATCGACCACTTTATGTTTCATTCCATACAACGAAAATGGAAAATATTTTTTTCCAGTCAAACTATTGGTTTTAGAGAAAAACTTGTGCAGCATTTATTCATCAGAATAACGTAACCTATCGATAGGTATTTTTTTCAAATAGAAATTGTGAAAAAAATCGCTATGTCCATAAATCGCAATTTCGCTCCATAGTGAGACGGCTAGCGGCCAGGCACCGGATGGTGCCAACGTGCTAGTAGAGTCCATGCCCCAGAAGGGGGAGAGTGGCAAGGGACAAATGGACAAAGATTAAAGAGCTTGTAGAGAGTCAAGAATTGCGCGCGGTGGAGTGCAATCTGCCGTAGGCAGCCGCAATTCCGCGCGCATCTCTCAAGATTCGGCCACAATAACCGCGAGGTTGGTATGGCCATGGGTGGTGGTGGGATTTGATCAACTGCCCGACTAAACTATCGGCCGACGAAAAATCGATGGTCTGTGCCTAGGCTTGAAAACACATCGTGGGCTTCAAGTCGTATAAGCCTGGGCGCAGACCACCGATTTTTCGTCGGCCGATAGTTGGGTCGGGCTGTTAATCAGTCAAGGCTGTCAATCAAGGGGTATTGCATAAAATATACGACACTATGGCCATAGTATAATGACGCCCAAGTGTCGTTTTTGCATTAAACGACAGCTAGCTTGAAGCCCGCGACACGTAGAAAGCATAAATAACTTAGAAAAAGGGAAGCTGCCTATAATTCTTTGGATTTTAACTGTCTTTAAAGACAATGAAACAATGACAAAAGAAATGTATAGGTAATTAGTGCCTAGTCATGTATGTAATAAATAAATTAATTGTAATCAAGATTCTATTGTGTATGCTGTATTTATAAACTAATAAAGAAAATCCATATTCAAAAGGATACTGCCCTTAATCCATATGGGTAAAGGAAAAAATGCCTGCAAAAAATTCAAGTTCTGTATTTGATAATTTTTTAACGAACACATTGTCCTGAAGTTTTAGCAGCCTATCTTTTAGTAGTGTTTATGTAAAACTATTCATGACAAATTCATATTTATTTGAAGCCGAATTACTAATAAAGTAATAGCTATAAAATGGCTGGTAACTTGCTGACTAAAGTAAAAAAAAATGGATACTCCCAGTTTGTTTGTTTCAACCAAATGACGTCCACTGCTGGACAAAGGCCTCCCCCAAGAATTTCCACAAAGACCACTCCTAGTTATTACAATCCTAATCACATTAATGTTAATACAACTTTGTTAGTAAGTAATATTGGAAACAACTAAAGTGCCTGTAATTGTGTAAATAAGTACTAATATTCTTACTATATTTTTGTCCCATTAAACATTAAACATTTTGGTATCCAAAAGAGTAAAAACACAAATCTTGGTTTAAATATGTGATTAGCAGGTTTAGCACTCCTTTAAAATGGTCGAGTAGACATACAACACCAATATCTAGCACTGATATTAGTCACTGATAACATTACGAGTCCATTATCTTTACTACGATGATATCAATAGTTTGCTATTTGAATTTTAGAAGTATAAAACTGCTGTAAAAATTAAGTCTCAAGGCTGCGTAATCAGATAATATTGATTTACTTAGTTTAATCGATGGTTCTATTACATTTTGTGAAGTCAGAACGCTGCCATTGACAAATCATGGTGGGGTCAAAGCAGAAACTTGACGATTAATATACAAAATTGCTTGCTGTTTTAAATTTATTACAAATTATCATTATTGTGGAAAGTTTAATACAAATTAATAGTCTAAATAAAGATGGTAGGTAGGATTCGGGATATTATGTCATATTTTGGCGTGCACCTCAAAAATTATAAATGCCGTACCATAATAATCTTGATAAAAAAAAATGTTTTTACTGCAGTTTCAGGAAATGTTATTTACAAGAAAGTAAATGCTGACAGAAGACTTAAAATTTTTAAAGTTACTTACCAAGAAAGACCCCTTTTTGTTTTTTAAATTAATAAATTCGTCGCCGGCAGCACTCATTGTGAAGTTTTACCTGCTTACAACTTGTAAAAACACAAGCACTACTTGAAAATTTTAATTTACAACACAGTAATCACTACCACTGATACATTCTTATAATAAGTAAAAATACATGTGGATTATGCACTTTGTACGCTTGTGACCAGAGAAATTAATAAAGTTTTGCAATATTACATTTCCATGAAAAAAAGTAGGTAGGTAAAAAAGTATGAAGAAACTTGAAATGTCAAAGACCGTTCTATCTAGTATCTACGTTTATTTTAACGTTCAATTGATTAAATGTCAAATTTGGAAATCCCTTCCGAAACATTATTTGTATTAGCACATTTTGTGAATATTTTATACAACCAGAATGAAAACAATATAATAAATGATAGTTTAATTATTGTATTAATACCTAGTTCAATATTTTTCTTATACATTTTTATTATTTTTTAAGACGATAGAACGAACGAACGGTAAAATAGCAAGATATTGCTTTGGCATCTGTCAAGTTGACGTATAATGTTACCAGTATTTAAATAAAATTTCCACTCAGCAGGATGGATTTTTTTCTCATCATACTATTCAATTCAGTTCCAGACAGTGGCGGCGTAGCATGGGTTGGCACCCGGGGCCGATTCAAAGATTGAAAGACAATCGCACCTTCCTCGCCCCCGTATCGTGACATAGACCGCAGACTTGCCATGCAGATGTACCTATTAATCTGCGTGACTGTTGCCACCCCCTGATGCTTGGCACCCGGGGCGGACCCAGAGGAGAGGAGTGGATCCAGAAAATGCAGTGCAGAATAATAATTAAATTCCATGTAAAAAAAGTGTTGATAACTCATAGATTAGATTATAGAAGTGAAGTTCCTGCCTTCCCTTCGATTCGATCCCATAAGAAAAATAAAAATTTCAACTTTTTCCAAAAAAATATATTAATAATCAAAAAGAAGGGGTCAATAAAAGCATATTTAAGTACTCAATAATTTTATTAATATTATGCTCACAATCTAAGTACAGTGTATAGTTTATTTAACTACTCAATAAATTAACGTCTGGTAATCTCTATCAAAGATAGCACAAATCACAATACGTCACCCTTTCATACATCAAAATTTTATAGTTTTTTTGTTAGTTGCACAGACAGAGTACATTAAACTTTTATTAACGAATTAGGATTGTGCATTCAAAACGTAAGACTATTTCGGACGACTATTTACACTTAATAAGGTAGCGAAAAATGACTGATTTTGTTTCAAAAACATACACTTAGTTATAACGTCAAAGTGGATATTTTAATCTATTCAAATATTTATATTAAGCTTATTACAAATTGTATACTAGTTAATATTTATAATTATAGTTTAAAAATTTATACAATATTTACACAAAACGTATATACATCAAGATGAATACCAACAGATCATGATAATAATAAAATATGGAACCAAACTAAAGTAATAATTGTACCACTTGTGCTCTCTAGCACAGGGGTCATACCTCAACAACTGAAAAATAGTTTAAATACGTTAGACCTACCGACTAATACCTTTTACAATATGCAGAAAGCTGCAATTCTCAATACGTGCCGAATTGTACGGCGATTCCTACAAGAGGACCATCACTTGGTTAACAACCCGTGAGGTTCTCTTGCAATACCGGAACAACCAGTTCCGAGAATCTTTAAGAAGAAAATAATTATACCCATAAACTAAGCCTTAACTTTATCTTTATCTAGTAAAACTAGTGGTAAGCATCACATACATAATTTAAATCTTTGCAAGGAAAAAGAGGCAAGAAAACTAAAAAAATAATTTGCACTGACCCTGTTAGTTTAAAAAAATAAGCAAAGTATGAAAGAAAAAAGTTAAGATAAATTCTATCGATAGGTACAAAAATTTGTTTTAATTATGCACAACATACATAATATTTCTCTATTAACTGCACTGCCTTTAGATAATGTTCATTTTTTATATTGACTGGATCGTATTCGTAAACACTAAGCGATTAATGAAAACATTTAAACAGAAGAACGTAATATATTTTTCGTTCTATACTTTTTTTCAACTAAACATGACAGTAGAGTGGATTATTCGAGTTCACTTAGTGCTTTTTTTCATCCGTCTCCGAATTAGTCATTCAACAACAAGTTATATTCCATTTCCAAGTGGCGCACGAGAAGGTTGGTTCCCCTGTCTCGCTCTTTCGGAGGCGGTTAGGTGAGACGACACTAGGGGGAAGGAGGAAGGCTGTCATCGCTCTCGAGGTACGTTACGTAGTTGTCTTCTCCACAGTGCGGTGGTCGTGGTGGAGGGAGCGAAGGCATATCATAGCCATGCATCTGCAACAAATAAAGAAACATCAGTCGTAATAAAAAAACCGGCCGAGTGCGAGTCGGAATCGCGAACCGAGGGTTCCGTACAAACTTCTCTTTGATTTTGTCATAGCTTAAAAGCTTAGGCGCAGACCACCGACTTTTAGTTTGCCGATAGTTGGACCCGACTTTAATTTGTATGAAGATTCGGACAATAGCAAATCGGTGTAATGTGCGCACTTTCATAAATCTCCATCCATACTGATTAACAGCTCGACCCAACTATTGGCCAACTAAAAATCGGTGTTCTGCGCCTAGGCTAAAAGTATAGACTTGAGTATTTGATTTGAGACATTCTTTGTAAGCAATCTAGCGCTTTTTTAATAGTTTGGTTAGTTGGCAGACATCGACAGACAGACGGACGGAAAAAGCAGTAAAAGGCTTATTAGTGCAGTAAATAACGCTTTTCAAAATAACAGTTTCATACCTGATTTACAAGCTGCTGAAATGCAGCGCTATGATGAGGTGCCCGGTCAAGATCGGCGTGTAAAGCGAAGTCAGACAGCGCCTTCCACGGTGGCTGGTACGCCGTCACCTCGAGCGGAAGCGCGGCGGCCTCGTGTCGCACAGGGGAGCCAGCCACCAGCGGCACGCCCATCGACATGTAGCCTAGACGGCGGCCTTCCTGCAAACAAAGTTACACTCAGATTCGTTTATTTGGCTTGGTGTTTATTATGAACGGTAAGTTATTGAAAATGATTACCTTAAAAATATTTAATCTTAATCTAGCGAGTGAGTTTATTGTCTGTTTTCAACTTGACTTGGTTGAGGTTTGAAATGAAGAAAGAACAATAAATGCAGTACAGTAGTTACGAAAGAGTCCTCTGACTTACTCTGGTGACCGATATTCGGCATAAATAGATGTAAAAAAATTGCACGTTGAGCAGTAAATAAAAGCTACGATCGTGGTCTAGTCATGAGGTATCAGATACTTATGATAGTAGTTTATTACAGGATAACTTATAGTAGTGCCTTGCTAGAGGCCGAAGAGTCTTAAAATTATAAAGTATTCAAAAAGTGCATACAGAATCTATCATCACCTTCTCCTGCTGCATTTGCATTTTCAATTGCAGCGTCTTCTTTTTGTCCTTACAGCGTTTGTTCTGGAACCAAACTCTGATGACTCTCGGGCTTAAGCCGGTCATTTCTACTAGCTGTTCCTTCATCAAAGCATCTGGTCTAGGATTCGCTGCGTAGCAAGTTCTGTAAACAAAGATTAAAGTCATAAGTCAATAGAACTACAATAACTACATGATGTTAATTGTAACGGGACATTATTTTGTTAGTTTGCCAAAAAATGGGTAAAAATTTAACAAGTGACAACACTGAAGTGAAATGTCAGAATTAGTTCTTTGATCTCAAACAAGATGGCGTTAGGGAGTGTAAAAAAGTTAAAAACTTTTTGCGTGTTTTGAAAATATTGGTTTTGATATTTTTATCTTTTTACACCGATTATTTTTCAGTTGGTGCAGTTTTGCAGTTGCAATTTTCAGGACGCCATCATTGCATGTAATAATTTTACACCCACAAACAGGTGCACAAGAATTTAAGTCAATTGCCGTCTTAGCGGCCATTGCAAAATAAGCTCTAACAGTTAAGTATTAAAATTGGTAAACAATCATCTCACCCCAGCGTTCTCAGTTGTTTTTCGGTTAGCACGGTGCGCACGCGCGTGGATTTGCCGTCGCGGGCGCTCGACTTCTCGGAGTCGCTGCCGTTACATAGTGGGAGGAAAAGCGAACGTTTATCCAGGGTGGCGTTTTGTACACAAAATTTAGTATTTTTTAAAATATTCATAACTTTAACTACCTCGGAGATCGCGAGGTGAGACTGAATACCTACTTTGTCTAAGATCGATTGACCTTTTGAAATAGCTTCGAAAGGGATGGGCGTTCTAGGTTTTGTCTATCGTACTATAGTGTCACACATTAGGCTACTTTAATGTAAATTTTCAGGTCATGTTATGCCACCATTAATATTAAAAAACCTACTTAGTAGGTTCTTTCACGTCCCCATTTTCTTTCACGTTATTGTAAAATACAATTTTAGTAAGATAAGAATTGGTAGGCAGACTATCTACCTTCACTTGGGTTTCATTGGAGGCCAAACTGTAGATAGATCCTGCCCTCCCAGACAAGAAAACGAGACAATTTAAATTTTCGAAATCGCTTCAAGGAGCGAAGTAATTTCGGAATTGCACTTTGCTAAATGGCGCCACGCCTTATATTAGTTCCAATTTTCATTCATAGATGGCGACATCCGGAGTTGTCTCGCGGTATCATAAATGATTCTTTCCTGTTTGCATATTTTGTTATTAGAAGTTTAATATTTATATCAGCCTATGAAATTTTTGTTAATTAATACGTGTACCTATTGTGTGTCAACAACTGTCACGATTTGTTACTTGTTTAGAGCTGGTCCAGATGACGTGTTTTTACTCGCGTGTTTCGACTTCTGTCGCAAAACGGAATATGCGAGTAAAAACGCGTCATCTCGACCAGTTCTTAGAGAGCTGGCTATACAGGAGATGCAGTAGTGGGAAAGAGGAGGTATTAGTCTTGTCTAGCCTAACATCTAGTCTCACCTGAGCGTATGCAGCTGTTTCTCGTTCAGCACAGTCCGCACTCGCGTTGGCTTCCCATCGGCGGCGGCAGACGTGCGCGCGCGCCCGCTCTTGTGCGAGCCCGACTCGCTGCCCGAGTCTGGAATTAACAGGAATACAGCTTATTAAGAGCTCTTTAAAAGCCAATTTACTGAAAAGAATTTCAGCACCATTTCAGTCACAGAACTGCTAAACATATCCGTCCTCTAATGATTTCCACATCACCCGGTTGATAGCGGCCTGCATCCAGCACCTCCCTGCTCTGTTAACCTTGTAGTAAGTAATGGGCAGGGCACATAGCACGCAGAACTGACGGCCGATGGGGCATAATTTAATTTATTGTCCGTGGTGCATAATCTTTTTCTTAAAGGTTTTAAACCTTTGTTTGTCACTTGTCATCCGCTTTGCAATGGAGGGAAGTCGAACTTTAATTTCGAACTCCTCCTATGTTCTTCTGATTAATTTCGTTGCGGGTCCAATGACAGTTTAACTTTCCCCCGGGACAAACTTGACCTTCATTGGTTGGGTTTTTGTGGCGGTCAAGCTGTAGATCCTGGCTACACAGGAGTTGCAGTGGTGGAAACGAGAGGTGGGAATAGTCCCGGCCGATGGGGCAGCAAGGTTCTGAAGTGGAGGCCAAGTACCGGAAAACGCGGCGTTACGTCCACCCACACAAGGTGGAAAATAAATTAAGTTTATAGAGCGACTAGACAAAGTTACATTCGCGTCAGTTTGAATTCTGAAATAGCTTCATTTTTTTCTCTCCGTGAAGCGATCGCGAAAAATGTAGAGACTGTAAGCATTCAGTAAACTTTTTAACCACAGTTATTTACAAATTAATAACTGACCCGCCAATAATCAGCTTCCTTATAAAGACTTCCGTAGATTCCGACTTCAGGTTAGAGATTGTGTCCGGAAAATTAATAAAAATGCCGAATTAATTCTTCCATTTCGAGTTCAGTCCATAACTTTAAGCGATAGAGAAGATCGGACACTGCGTCCATCCCTATACCAATTTATTCAAAACTAATAACTTCACTTCACACGTCCAAGATCTAATCCATCTGACGTACACAGTACAGTCCACTCCAATTACAAATATTACAATACAGTCCGCTGCATAATTAACGCCCTGCCCGCTTCACACCTCGGCTAAGCCGGGCAGCTTTGTACATACGATATGAGTGGACGCTGGTATTAATGGATTACCAGATTAGCAGATGTTAATTTACATTTGAAGGGTCAAGAGCGTCTTTTTTTAAATTATTTGCCAATTGCGCAAAATGTGAATTCAGCACGCGGCGGAGCACAACTTGTAGTAAAGCTGATGGCCGTTGGGGCAGAATAGTTCTCGAGTGGCGACCACGGTCCGGAAGACGTAGTATGGGCAGGCCCTTATTCTTGGTAGTTAAATTTTGTAAAAGTTCGAATAAAACACCTATGATTTTGATTTTGAAGTGTTTCTAGACCAGAGTTCCTACATTAATTCATAAAATCTGAAGGTCAAATGGCAACACTTTTCACAAACAATTTGTAAATTCAGCAGGATTAATTGAAACCCAACGACTATGTAATCGTTTGGTGCCTCTTTAGACCAAAGATCCTCCAAGTTTACTAGCTATAATATTTTACCAAAAGCGGGTTCTGGATTTAGATTGAACTATTATTTTACTAAATAGACGATTAGGTATAATGTGAAAGTGTATAAATGCCCTGAAAAGGGACCGAAACTAACTGGAAAGGGACTTATTAAACAATATGTATTTGCCAACCACCGTTGTTTGCCATCGCCTATTAATTATATTCCCATACTTTTACCACACTCGATAACACAGCAAACACTTAAAAACCAATCACAGTTTCCCCAAAACGCAATAATGATAAAAATAACCGGCGCAGGTTAGCGGCGACATCAAAGCGCGGCGGCTTTGTCGGCAGATCAAAGGGGTATCGCTCGCGAATCTATAATACTCCGGGTGGAGTGATAACCGGCTAATTAAGGATGTCAATAGATAAGTTGTACGAGCAAATCGTATTTTTAGTTTTCGGGTCGGGTGTATAGCTAGCGATGCTATAATGGTGGCTGTTTTACTAACGATGATATATGAAGCGAAATTTTTGTGGAATCTTTTGTAATGCTTTGTAAAATACGTTGTTGAGCGATTTCTCATTTAACTTAAATTTGAATTAAGGATTTATCTAGAGTTCTAATTACTTAGTCTGAGATATAAGCAGAGAAATCGATGGCGAAAATCGGATCTATGGAGATAACTTATTGTACAAATATTTCTACGACTAACTCCGGACCATATTGGACGTACTGTGAAACGTGCCATTTTGCAAAAAAATATGTATAGCCTAATGCGCTGTCGACTACTTACTACGTAGTTGTTTTACATATTTTGATTTTTTTCTCTACTTANCCAACTTAGGTAGACTGTAATTCGTCTTTCAGACTGAAAGTTTTGGAAGCAGAGATTTTCATTTCTAAATTATGAAAAAAGTTTTACTTTTAAATTAAAACTTATATTTCATAGCAGCATAGCATATCAATACACATTTATCATATCCAAAACTACATGGAAATAAGATATATCTTCAGCATAGCATTGTAGAGTCGCCAAGCTTTAGATATAGTGAGATTCACTGTGAGAAACATTGGACTTACTAGAATCATTTGTAATATCGGCTTTATCAATGTTATCAGTGATCCTTTTGTCAATACACAATCAGATTGTTTTCGAATTTGTGATTTCATTCACTTCATTTGAAGGCAAGCAAAAGGGGTGTAAAATTACCCACATCAAAATCTATCTATTCAGATAGATTTGGGTAGAGAAGTCAAATATTTCTTAACCAAAGATCGTAATCTTTTGGGGGTTGAATTAATATGGGTTAACCGCTTGAGTCCCAGACGGCATTAATTAATGTCATAACAATTGATTACAACTGTCTACAGTATTTTTGCGCACGGGTTATGCATAGCTTATTTTTATTGCTTTATAACCTAGAAACAAGAATAACAACAAAAAATTGTTCTGAATTTGCTTTTATGTGTAAAAAATAGAAAAATTCATATCAATGAATGTATGAAACATGAACATAGAGATGATTTTAATTTATTGCCAAATATTTTTTTTCTTTCTTTCTTTCTTTCATTCTTTCTAATTATTAAAACATAACAAACATCCATTTAAGATTCATTCTCACAAGAGAAAAATTAAAATAAAGTCCAAATATTTATTAAAAATGAAAAGTTCTAATTTCCTGTCATGTTCCATAGAAGATTTTTTTCATAAAAATCTAACCCTATCATGCTTTCAGTATACTGGCCTTAATAACGTCGTTTCTCAAATCCCACTATATTTTGATGAAAGCGTGCCCCTTGTTCTTGCGAATAAGCCCCCATAATTATTTATAAATATATCTCAATGAGAATGTGACGTGCATCTTTAGAGACATTCTACTATGAAGATGGAAAATTCAAATCGCTATAACTTTTTAAAAAGCAAATATTTTCGATTTGTAATCGCACTTTTTTATATACATTTGCTTATATAATCAGAATATAATAAGTAAAATCCATGCGCAAATAATAAATTTTTTTTTGTTGACCGGTGTTATCTATTGTGTCTAGATTCGCGGGCCTTGAAGGATTAATGGCGGACTAAAGTTTTGGACACAAAATTAGTTTAAGTTCAAATAGTTTGTTTCAGCCAAATGATGTCCACAGCTGGACAAAGGCCTCTCCCAAGGATTTCCATAACGAGCGGTCCTGCGCTGCCCGCACCCAGGTTCTTCCCGCGACCTTCACTAGAACGTCGGTCCACCTAGTGGGAGGCGTGCCCACACTACGTCTTCCAGCCCAAAGTTCAAATAAATGAAGTTTATTAGCTAACTCTACTAAAACCTAGTGCTAAAAAGAAACAACAGAATAAATTGTTGACGATGAATATAAACCTTAAACCTACCTGACATGGAGCCAAGCTCGTGCGGGTGATGCGAGTTGTTATTGTTGAGGGTTGTGTTGTTATTGCTCTCAGGGTTCGCACTGGAACCGCTCGTGTTCGCGCTCTGCAACAATACAAGACGTTTAGGAATCGCCTAATATTTAGAAGAATAGATAAGTAAATGGAGATTCATATCAAGAGCTCATCAGCAAACATAGGATTTAGTACATTTGTTGATACCTCGCGACTCATCTGTTTCTTTCACTCGGTATAACCTACGCCTAACCTAAAAGGTTTTGATATAATTATGTGTCTAAATAGAAACTTAGCGAATCTATCACGAAGTCGAATCTGTAACTAAGTGCTGCGTGATTATCGCTGTTTTACAAAGCTTAATTCTTTTCTTTGGTTTCAGTTTAAGTTTTTTCAAATATTACTTTTACTTACATAGCATACCTACTTACACAACAAAAGGGATTACACGCTATTCAATACCAACCAGATAACATCTAATTACGTTACAAGAACTAGTTAGTAGAAGTAACTAGTTCCATTTGTACCTTTTTCCGAGCCTCACAGGCCACAGCACACGTCGTCGGGTTATCTGACGCTTTTTATAGAGCTTTCGATATATTCTGTGTTAATAATGGTTAATACCAGTTCCCACAGTGCGGCAGTTTTGTAATGAATTTAATTTAAGCGGAACGATAAAAAATAAGTTTTATTCAGTAGGCTTGCTGTTTAGTTTAAATCAGTCTTGACCTAAGGCACAAAAATCTTTTACACTGACTTATCAGACATTTGGTTTTTATGAAAAACAAGATTTTAATCAAGGTATAACGAGTTGTAAACAACTTAACACTTTTTTAATACTTATTTAAACTTTTTAATTAAGTAAACTTTGAAGATCGAGATACTAAAAGATGGCGATAGAAGCCCATTATATCACTCCGCCTACTTTCCGCGTGAACTGTACAATACATGGTAACAATTATGAATAAATACATAAAATTCGTGCCTAAGTTATGGTAGGTACCTTCTTAATATAATTTTATTGTAGAGTTGTTTAACTTCGTTGTAGGAAATGTCGCCCCATGTAATAAGTACTATTATTAATTAAATTGTACTAGGTTGGTAACCCTTCAGTGCGTGGGGGGTACTAAAGACAGCTAAAAGCATAAATTATGTAGTAGGCAAAAACTTGGGAAAACATCTAATTATAAAAATAAGCTACTGGTGTGATACTTTTTTATCCTAATTGCCTTAGGCGTAGAATACTTAATAATACTCGCTTAGGCAACTACTTAAGTTAGGACTAAGTAGTTGTTAGTAATAATATCCCAATAATGAGCGGTGTAGTAGCTTTTAATTAGTTTATGTTGAAACATTAATACCGAGGGTTTGATTAAGCCATTAGGCTCATTAAGTTATTATCTATACTTAATATTATAAATGCGAAAGTAACTCTGTCTGTCTGTCTTGCTTACACGCCTAAACCACCGAACCGATTTTGATGAAATTTGGCAGAGATAGTTTGAGTCTCGGGAAAGGACATCGGACATAGGATAGTTTTTGTCCCTGTTTCAGGGCTGCGCGCGATAAAGTTTTTCTGTGACAAACAAAATTCCACGCGGGCGAAGCCGCGGGCGGAAAGCTAGTGATGATATAAAAAGTCGATTTCATCAAGAGACATTCGGCCTTCATTCTATAGTAGTGATATTTTTTTAGTGGTAGATATTCGTGGAAGAAAATTACTCAGGACCATGAGAAGTGGCGAAAAGGACACCTAAGCTACCTACTTAACTATAAGATAAGTTAACCCCGAGTTTCAGAATTGAGAGTTTTAGCTTGAGCGTGCTTAAATAAAGTCGCTGGAAGAAAAATAGACATTAACTCTACGTCAATCTGACGTGGGCATCAAGACTTATTAAATATTTACCTTTTCTAATACATCGTGGTCTTCTCTACAATATAAAGCACCTCCTTCTCTTAACGCGAACTCGTCACCTGTTGACAAAAACCTCCAATTAATTAAATATACAAAAATTCCTAAACATAAACTTAAGTAGGTAACGAGTGAAATATTTTCTGGGCAAGCTCGCTATACCATAGTTCTGCACCCTGAAAAAACTTATGCTATGAAAATAACAGATGATAATAATTTAAGAACATTATTAATACACCTTGATAATCGTGTTTAGGTAAGGATACAAAGTGTATGTTGTATCTTAAAGGACATGTCACACTGGATGCGGTCTGTGGCAGGTCAAAGTCGCAGATCGCATTCAGTGTGGCAAATTCTTCAATCGTTAAAGCGGTTTGCACTACGTCCGATCCGAATGCGTCAAATTACGGATCTTAAACCTAAACCAATCGGATCCAGTGCGGAAACTAGGTACTATACAAATAAATATGTTTATATCCGTTGTCTAGTACCCATAGTACAAGCTTTGCTTAGTTTGGAACTAGAAGCGCAGTGTAAATGTCCATGGATAAAAAAAAATAGTTCTACGACCACTTCTGACCGTAATTTTACAATTAATTAAACTTGAAACAACCAAAGTGTCCCGATTTGACCTATAATTCCCAATCGATCCTAAAATAGGTCAGGTCCTTCCTTCCCGCTTCCCGGGACCGGCTTCCCGTTTACTCGGCCTGACAGGCCGCACCTGCCTTAGTTGTCTGTCTGTATATCACTGGATATCCTCTAATTAATTATGACGTTTGACGCTGAAACGTCAAACTGTCTGTAAATTTGTACTATCCTGTACTATCTAGATTATAGTACCTACACAGCTATGCCCGCGATTTCGTACTTGTGAAGATCGTTTGAATTTTTCCCAGGTTTTGCAACATTTTTCTTTGGTGCTCGGCTCCAATTGGCCGTAGCATGATGTTGAAGCCTACTACAAGAGTTCCTCGATAAAAGGACAACAACAAAGGACAACTCAACACAATATTTTTCAATTCAAACAGTAGTTCCTGAGATTAGCGCGATTAACTAAATAAATAAACAAACAAACTCTTCGTATTTATAATTATTTTAAACGTTAGTATAGATTAATTGGAACACTGAGCTGTGCTAATAAATGTGACAGCTTGGTCGCCTTGCCAAACTTTCGTTTCAAAATATAAAAGTTAAAACTGGGTCAATTTTACACGTGTCTCTTGTGGATTCCACAAAGTCTATCGAGTCCGATGTCAGATATTTCGAGGTTTATTTAAAATCTTGTTAAATTAGTACAAATAAATCGGGATAATGGCTGATAACACGTGTAACTGCAATACAATTTATAGGTGTCATTCAGTTTCTGTTAGGAAAAGTTACGTCTATCATAGTAAAGGCAGTTCTGTGGTTTTCGAGGGTTAGATCCGTGCTTGGTTAAAGGGATGTGTGACGAAATTAACATAAGGTCACAAACAAAAGAGATATTAGGTACTTAGTCTTAATATAGGTATGTTAAATAATCAGGTTTTTTTTTAAAATGTACAACAAAGTAAGTATTTGACCGCAGTCACACCAGATGTTAATTGAAATGCAGTCTGGTACATGGATATTGGCATAACATATTCAGCCATTGGATTCTAGACTGCTAGATGTTAAGCTTCGTAAGTAACGTCACAACCCCGCACTCGTGCGGAGATGCAAAATGGATTTGGAATCCCCCGGAATTTTCTTCCGGAAACTGTTAGCTATTTTCTTGAGTTCGTCGGTCCATAGAGCAAGGTTTTGCATCCTATTAACATAACTAATATATTTGCTTGAATATAATGCCCAACTGACCAGGTATAAGCTGCCTCGCGCACGCGCAGCATCGGAAGCAGTCGATGTGGTAGATCTTCGTCTTGGCGCGCATCACGAAGTCGTTCTTGCTAAACGACGCGCCGCACTTATCGCATTTTGTGCCAAATAACCTGTGGACAAAATAACTCTTTAATATGAAGTATTTAAATATAAAAATCTAATCCAGAAATCATCATCATTTCAGCCATAGGACGTCCACTGTTGAACATAGGCCTCCCCCAATGACTTCCACATCGCACGGTTGGTAGCGGCCTGCATCAGCGCCTTCCTGCTACCTATATCAGGTCATCGGTCCACCTTGTGGGTGGACGTCTCACGCTGCATTTTCCGGTACGTGGTTTCTACTCCAGAACCTTATTAATGCCCCATCGGCCGTCAGTTCTGCGTACTATGTGTCCTGCCCATTGCCACTTCAGCTTGCTAATCCGTCGGGCTATGTCAGTGACTTTAGTTCGTTTACGGATCTCCTCATTTCTGATTTGATCTCGTAAGTCGTAAAGAAACACCGAGTATAGCTATTTCCATAGCACGATGTGTAACTTTGAGCTTCTTTATCAATCCAGAAATAGGTACTGCAATTTAAAGAAGAGGGTGGATGGTTCGAAAATTGTAAACGAATCATCTTCAAAGGATCATATTGGCATTATAATTTTAATGGACTTTAAAAGGCTCCTGAATCACTTTGTCCAAAATGTAGTTGACTCCATTTTTCGAGCACCGTGCTACAGCGTTTTCAGGGTTGCATACGTAAAGTAAACATATAACTTTGGGAGATTCTGTATAATTTTACCTTAAATTTTAAAATAACGTTTTCCAATGCCTTTGGATTATCGTATACTTACCTAAGTAGGTACTTATGAGTAACTGATATCGCAATATTCAATAGGCTTCGTACTTAAAATATGCACTTTGCGGATTTACCTAAATAGGTGTCATAATAAAAGATCGGCTGTTTAGTTTAGCAAGTCAGTTCAAACCTAATGACGATAATTTATTGCTGAGGACATTTTAAACTTGTGCTAAGTGCCACATCGTCCTTTCGTCCACAAACAGTATTCAACAAACATAAACATGTCAAACGGCATTATTCCAAACACCCTACATCCGAAAAGAAGTAACAACAGAAACCCTAAAACGTAAATACCCTCGCTTTCAATTCTGTGCCTCCGTCGCGTCGCGAACCTCTAAGTATATTTTTAAAGCCCCTCCCTTGGGAGGTTATTGACCGGCACTCAGTGGAATGAGCCCCGCCAATCGCGCTAAAAGCCTCGCTATACGTAGGGTTAGGCTGTATGCCACCTGCTCAGTGCGGGGTGCGCGCCGATTAAAAAATAAAACGTCAATGATTAAAAAGTTGCTTTTCCCGCGCGCGGAAATTGCTGTCTATGGTACAGTTGGTATTTGTAAGTTGGCAATAAAAAGTGTAGCCCGTCAAGTCAAGTTTATTTATGTCAAACGAATTGTAACGATGTGTTCTCGTTATCTAATTAATGTTAGTTTGTTTTGCTCCATTAATCTTTATGGTGACTTGACTGATTTTTTTCGTCTACTCAGCATCAGCCGATTGTTGTAAAGTGATGGTTCGTTCGTTTCAGCCAAATGACGTCCACTGCTGGACAAAGGCCTCCCCCAAGGTTTTCCACAATGAACGGTCCTGCGCTGCCCGCATCCAGGCTCCTCCCGCGACCTTCACCAGATCGTCGGTCCACCTAGTAGGAGGCCTGCCCACGCTACGTCTTCCAAAGTGGTGGTAGAGCAAGCTATATAGGGCGTGTATAAATGCTTTCATCATAATACTAATAAATGAAGAATTTAAACTTAAATTTTACTATTTTTACTTATTATAAGGATTGCTATATTCTTCTCAGACGTCAACTAACTTTGCAACCTACGAAACAGTTAAAGCCTATACATTTCAAAAAGCGTCAGTCTCAAACAATGTTTTCTTGTAAAAAGAGCATAATTTTGTTATTTCAGGCTATAGGGATAGGCAGCAAGCGGGGTCGCGTCGCCAATTAGCGATATCCTATACGCGGGCTCCGGTTACTGTTTGCGCGGCTATTTAGGGATGCTGATGTTGGCAGCACTGCAGCTGCCGCTGCACACAGGGTTAGGGCGAAATAAGTAGGTATAGACAAAATATTGACAGTTCTGTCTCATGTCGGCCGGTTGGTGTAGTGGTTCAGAGCGGACTACTATGCCGAGAGGTCCCGGGTTCGATTCCCGGCCGGGCAGATATTGAAATGATGAATTTTAATTTCTGTGACGGGTCTGGGTTTTACTATGTATAATATGTATGTATTTACAAAAAAAAGGATATAAGTAGTATATCCGTTAAGCTAGCACCCATAACACAAGCATTAAGTTGCTTACTTTGGGGCTAGCTGGCGCTGTGTGAAATTGTCCAAAGATTTGTCCAAAGATTTATTGGGAAAATAACGCTAAAGAAAATCCCATTTTATGATCTCGTCCTTACCGGTCAAAGGTCACTGATTGACTGACTGACTCACTCACTCATCACGAATCTCAGAAACTACAAGTGCTAGGAGTCTCAAATTTTTAGAACGTAGGTGCTCACTACGACGGGATTTTGCAAAATTCAACCCCTAAGGCTAAAACGGGGTCCACGTGTACGAAGTCGCGGGCGGTCGCTAGTAGTTAGATCAGTCTTTCCCAAAGTGGGCGATAACGCCCCCTTGTGGGCGCTACAGGCTTAAAGGGGGGCGGTAAGAGAACCAGAAAAAAATCGGGACGTTGTGTAGATGCTTGGGAGGCGTCATTTACTAGGAGGACTCTTAGACACCGACCGAGCTCGACTCTTGACTACAAAAATGGGGGGCGCTAAAAAAGAATTTATTCTCAAAGTGGGCAGTAGACGAAATAAGTTTGGGAACCGCTGAGTTAGATAATAGTAGAGTTCTCTAAAATTAAGTACTTATAGTGGTAACAATTTCCCAGCATAGTAAACTAAACAAATACTTTTTTCAAAGCAAACAATCCTTCCTACCTAATTACACTAATTTAAATCCATTTAATGCCCATGTCAGGATTTCCGTAAAATGTTATTACAAAAATCTTATTTCTATTATTCCCCATAAAAACTGACCTTCACTAATACTCCGTTGACAGATGCCAATATCCTATCGGAAGCGCCTAAAAGCATCTATACAGGGTGTGATTTGTCGAATTATATAAAAATAAAGTCCGTCTGTCTGCGTTTCCGACGCGCGCGTAAACAAACGCTTCCGTGTATATTCACTGGGAAAGGGTTCATCTTACTTAATGTATTGGGGTCTTACCCTGATATCGATCGAGATTCGTTCGATTTCTTTACGATTACTTACAGTTTCTTAAAAGAACTTATGACTTTTTGGGAAAACCACCGAAATAGACTACCTGCATTATTACTTTTGAAAACTTTTTATCTCTATTATTTTTATTTACTCGATTTTCTATTAACTGATTGAAATTAGGTTATACATTTAATCAAAAGAATAATTTAGATGTGGTAAGGCTTTACGTATTTAAAATTTTAAATCCACAAGAAGAGCTGTATGTGCAGATTTGCACATATAGCTGATGATAGATACCTACATTATGTGGTCGGAGGTAAGTAGACATTTGGTAATTATTAGTTAGACCTTAAAAAGATGATTTGATTTAAGTTATGAAATACTGCGTTTATCAAAACGTGGGGTGTAACGCATCTGATAGAGAACGTAAGCGCACGCAATCTAATTTCATTACCAAATGCATGTTTCGTGCGGTTTGAGAATATTCACCCCGCGTCATCGCGATAGAGCGTGTTCAATTACACTAATGGAATTAATCATAAACCGATACTGTATGTTTGTTTTAATTAATATTGCAGTGAAAAAGTTTCACTAACCACTTTCTTTCGTGTTTTGTAGGCGAGAAATAAAACTGGTTCTTTTATGTTTCTCATATAGTTGTCTGTCACCTATATAGTTAATCTAATAAGCAAAGAATAAATGACAAAAGCGAGTGTGGACATCACGTATGTTAGAAACACACATTTTGAAAACCCGAAAATATATTTTTGAGCTTCTGTCGGCACCGCTCTTACAATATCAAACTCGGAGATACCCACAAAAAGCCGGTAAAGATTTCACAATATTTACCAAAAAGTCCATTACAGAAAAAAATACCTTTACTTTTCGGCCGACGTAAACGGAAACAAACACCATAGAGCATAGAGCTATCGAGTTCCCGCCGCCCGCCGCGCTGTCAAACTGACGTTTGTTTTGGCGCCAAAATACATAATGCTCAGTCAAACGCAGCTTGTTTTCTCTTCGGCACATCACAGCGTCACGACAAACATTATTTTACCGCTATTTTTATCTATCACCAACCAAAATTGAACCTTAAAACTGTGTAGTAGCCGTTTGTTTATCTTGCGCGGGTTGTCTTTGAATTATGTCGATGTGTAATTCTATATTTTAGCAGCGAAAGATGAAGGGTGAAAAGGTAAACATGGTGGGTTATTTTAGTGAATTCAACTTGTGAGTCTGCCTGAAAAAGTGGCGCCGCGTCGTGGCATGATTGACGGGCGGTTATGAATCCTTTTTGTTTGAGGACTTTGATTATAAACTGGTCTATTAATGGAGTCCGGGTAGAGTTGCTTACGCTTTCGTAAGACTTGAGTATGAACGTGGAATTGTTCAGTTGTTTCAACGAATTAGTGTCAAATTCCTGAAGCGAAGGCGACGTCGAATCTCATAGTCCTTTACATGTAGAACAAGACATAAACTGTACCATAACATGTTTGCTAACTTTTACGATTAACAGAAACATTAGGCATATCCAGCTAAAAAATTCTAGATGGGTAAGGTGGGAAGCTGCCCACTTCTGGCCCCCTCTCAGTGTGCTAAACTGAGTAGGTAATAAGCGACCTAAGAATACTTAACAACTTCTAGTGATTCTGATTGCGAATAGATATAATTTGCTATTATCAGTTTCCCTACGAGATGTGAAGACTTAGGCCGAAAAGAAGATTAAACTAATCGGCAGGGCTTTATTGGCTAAGATCTTTAAATCCTGGCTACTCAGTCTCCCTAGATCAGTTAAAAAACGTGACAGTTGTAATTCCAAAAACTTCGCTCCGTGAAATTGTTTCGAAATTAAGACTGTTATGTTTAGTGACTTATTTAGGGGTCCTAAAGTTGCAGTGAATTCAGCTCTATTACAAATTAGCATTCGGTTTTTTGCAGGATTCCGTTTATTAGTATACGTGTTGTAATACCCCTTGTTCCCCTGTCGACGAAGTACATGATGTTGTAACATGCGTGCCCAAACAACGGCACGCAGGAAGGTTCAACAAATGCTACTGACAACGCCACTCTTGTAGCGGAGTTTTGGGCTGACACTGTTGGGTTTGTTGTCGACACGACAAAAAGAAGAATTTTAGATTTTAAACTTTCGCGTTCCATTTCAACTAAAACAGCAAGACACGGGTCTTAACGCGACGTTTATTAATGAGTTACATTACATTACAAGAAGAAGAATAATCTTGTACCCTTACCTAGTGTAGTCCCTCTTGCAATACGTCTTGCCGTCCCTCACGAAGCAGGTGCAGGACTCGTCGAGGAACTGGCGGCACTCCTGGCACTTGAGGCAGGCGGCGTGCCACTCCAGATCGGGCGCCACCCGCAGGATGTACTGGTCGTGGATCTGCCCACCGCAGCCGACGCATAGCGACAGCCGGAGTTTTTCTGGAAAGATCAGATGGACACTATGAAATACAGGGTAGCCCTAGTTTAGGCTCCAAGTACAGCTAGCACGAAAAACTTTCGAGTTCGAATCGTTTGCATATTCGAATCGACATCAAAAGATTTAGTATGAAAACTACGACAGCGCCCTTGTGAACGTGTCGTAAAGTGAACTTAGTATGAGAAATGGTTGCAAGAAACTTATTTTGACAATCAAAATTGTCACGTTATCGTTTAACTCGAAGGTTGAATATCGAATTTCGTCGAATACGCAAACGATTCGAAGACGTTAGTCGTTCATGCTAGAGGTAACTTCAGATCGCACACTAGGAGCAGCAAATTGTACCGGAAAATAGTGTCTGATGAATAAATATCAATTTTTATATACGTCATTTCAGTGCGTGACAGTTTATTGCTGAACTTTAGGTTTCCCAAGGGAAGGCTTTTCACAAATAAGATCTGACACTTTTTCTATGTAGCCACTGCCTGCTTTTTGGGGCCGGTGCATCAAGCAGGGCGACGACGCGATTCTTGTTAAGCTACGTTTGACTTAACGAGCGTGAAACTTAACTTAGCCAACAATTGATTAGTTTAATTAAAAGAACCAAAAGTTCGAGAGATTGTAAAGTCAATGAGAATTATTGTTAGTGTCGGCTTATAGTCACTGAGTAGCACCACCTAACTTTACCCATAAATATAACGATAACCAGTGTGTTTTGTATGGAGTTTGACAGATATCTGACGTTTGTTAAAGTTAAAGTAAGATACTGCAACCCAGCCTTAGTGTTTGGAATTGAACCTAAATTAGACAGAGTAGGCAGGTATACAGTGTTTCATCAAAAGTTGTATACGTTTTATTCGAGACTTCCAAAAAGTATTTCAAAAAGCCTCCACACTACAATAACTTATTTAGTGACAAAGTAAAATTCACAAACAGATTACTCGACCACAACAAAGCATTCAAAAAACTTTCTATTTACAACGAAACTCGAATAATCGCAGCTTGATGCCAATAATAAAAGAATTATGCGAGAATTATGAATAAATTATACGTGCGCCCAAAATCAATATGTCCATAGGGCGTGGTGGCTGCCCGCCTACTGTGGCCACACTGACGGAGTATGCACATCTCTTTCGCGCGCACCTCTCTGTCGCACGTCACGGTCATCGATTGGCGGACAAGTAAACATTTTTATATAAATAGTACGGTTGATTGACTGGTTTCTGTAGACAAGTGGTCTGAGGAGTTTAAATTTGAACTTTTGGATGACCCTATAAGTCTATTTGATTGTAATGTATCAATCATTGCTATGTCTGATGAAATTTATTAGAAACGGAGTAATATTATTTAATTTAAACTCAAGATTTAAAGTTTTAATTTTGGAACATCTAGGATGTATATGAGAAAAAATTGATATTTCCGGAAGTCAAATAATCTTTATTTATGGTCATGTTACCAACATTAAAATAATAAAAATAATAGAAGATTTATATTTCAAAAACTTCTGTAAACTTTTTGCTTGCAGATGCAATTACATAGATTTTATAGCAACATAAAAGAGCTATAAAAACCGCACCTTAAAAATCAAAATCCATTGAGTTTCCTTAGGAAAACTAGCATCAACCAACAACATAACCCCCCTCTCTACAACCAAGTATTGAAAGAAGTTATAAAATCCCAAGGAAAAAGTTCCGTATAGGTACTTTTAACGTGTTGGGGAGATACAAAAGGAGTTTATAAAATTTTAATCCCTAAGGGGCTTTAGCTAGGGGCTTGGAAAGTAAGCACCTACAGGGAACCCGACACCTATGCGGAAAAGTCGGGAAAAATCTCTGCACGTTTATAATATTACCAGAATAAATTATAAACCTATAGTTATTAAAATGTTTATTTAATCTCAACATTTTATAGTCATAAGTTTGTTTCTTTTGACACAATTTGATAAATTGTGTCAAAAAAAATCAGACCTTATATATAAACTGCACTAAATATGTTTCATACAATCCATCATCGTGACTGGTGAGCGTTGAAGCGTTAGTAGGACTATCGCATTTGCACTCACTAATAGGACGGCGCCACTGTAGAGTAAGGTCACTATCCCTTGTGGTACCAACTGTTAAAATGAAATATAAAAGCCATAGCCCTGATTGAGGCACTCAAAACTCATTCCTTCGCAACTCGGGGTCGAACCCAAGACCCAGGTGTAACTCAGACTATTGCTACCGACAGTTTAAGATGCACTGGGGTCCACGACCTTCGTGAGTCACCACTGTGCAGTGCGGAGCGTGACGAATCGCTGGATTTTGTACACTACGACTCGATAACAACTGTCTAACGCCATCGACAAGCAGTAGCATGGTTCTGGTCCAGGGTTTAAACATGGTCCCTTGCTCTTAGACTCATAAAAAACGTATTTTATTTTTGCAAGTAGTTTTAAAAAGCACCTTTACACGTCCCAGTATTAACCCTACCACTGCCTCGGGACAATAAATGGGCCAGTGCTGAGAAGAAGCAGCGCAAGAAACTCAGTCACTGTTGTCAGCCTCTTTTTCAAGGGTTTACAGTCTTTAAAATATACGTAGTTGTAAATATTGATGCAAGCTAGGCAGTTAAGCATCCTAAAAATTTTTATCTTTTAGGCTTATGGAAGAAAGCAAAATGTTGGCAAATGTAGGTAACGTTGAAGCAAAATAGACGAAGGTCTTACATACATTTGCCTATATGGCTTCGGTTGCATTTTGCATCAATTTTTGGGGGCATCTCGATGTTTTAATAATTTAATGTATTGAACTGTACTGAATCATACTTAACAACCTCCTGGGAAGTGACCGGTATTGTTTCACGATTTGCACATCGTCATTAAAGAGAGCAATGAAAAAAGCAATAAAATTAATGCATCAAGTTTACGAAATTTCAAACAATATTTCAAAAATCTTTGGAACTGCGAACGAATAGAACCTAAGACTTCAAACCTGTAACCACTAGGTCACGACATTTTCTAGCACAACAAAAATCGCAAAATAATCATCGAGTTCTACAGGGTGTTAGGTAAATGGGTATATAAGCCGACACTAGCCCATGTTAACATATGCATATAAATGGTGTGGTGAAGTCAGAAAGATATCATCATTTCAATTTTTTTAAATGTTCGTTCATACAAAATAACATTTTTAGAATCAGATTTGTATGAAAATGAAAAAAATTAAAATGATGATATAAATTTTCTGACTTCACTATACCATTTATATGCATATGTTAACATGGGCTAATGTCGGCACATTATACCCATTTACCTAACACCCTGTATATTTTAATAATCTTCATCTTATCAACAATACATGTACTCAAGTTAAATCTGAACACACTATCTTAATTTACAAATTATCTCAATGATCTTTATTGTAGATAGTTGTCTAAAAATCACAACACTAATCATGATTGTAATTTATTATTATCCGGATTTTTAAATCATGTAAATCGCCAAGTCACGATTTACTCAAATGTTCGTAGAACTTTTACACAGTCATTGGTAAACTTGCATAATAATTTTGTCTCTGGCAGATTAAAAATAAATATTGGTTATTATTAATAGCCAAATATTTTTGCGCCGGGAGTCCCCGTAGATTTCTTATTGACGATGTTCTAAAGTCTAAAGGACACCATTTGAATGTCACTCATTAAAACGTGAACAATATTATTTTTATTTATTTATACTTTTGCACATACAACTGTACAGTGGCGGACTTAATGCCAGGTGGCATTAATAATATCTGCTTTATATTATGTGTTACCTATTAAATTGTCTATATGTTACAGTCAAAACTCATAATCGGTAAAAAGCACTTTTAACTGATTTTTCCAGTCAAAAGTGGTTTTGACCAAGGGCGTTAGTCAAAACCACTTTTGACTGCAAAAAAACAGTCTAAATTCATACACAAAGTATGTAACCATGGCCTTATCTGAATCAACAATTTGATATTTTGCAAATACAGTAATTATAAAGACTAATAAAAAATTATAAAACTAAAATGAGTTCATCGACACTAATCTTAATTAAAGTGCATTACGATAATAAGTTTGATTGTTCCGAACGCATCAGTCCAATCGTAAAATGTACCGTAAGTGCAGTTTTTATGTAATGAACAGTTTCTAAAGTACTTAGATGAAGAAAGCTCTCTACATTTTTCGACATACAGGTTAAACTCTTTATAACGACACTCAAGGGACTGAGCATTTTTGACGTTATAGAGAGTTGTCGTTGTATAGAGTGACATGGTAGAGCAGATAGAAACAAGGTAAACGAACAACGTCAAGAAATTGTGACGTTATAAAGAGATTTTCTTTAAATCGAAAGACGTTATAGAGAGTTTACACTTAAAGATAACACAATAAGTGAGAGGTACCAAACATAACGTTAGAAAATTAGGAGGACCCAGGAGAGACAAAATATTTTTATTTGTAAAATAAAAATCACAGTTTTCGCGTCTTCTGAAAATTTCCATTTCTGGCACTTATAAAGTTATGGTTTGGTTCCCCTCATCATCTTGGTTGATATTTATTTACAGTAATATCAACCAAGATGATGAACCAGAAAACTTTTGTATTTTTGTGTAAGGCCCAGTACAGATGGTGAAACGCAACTGCAACGAAATTGCCACTGCTAGTTACTTTTGAGTTGCATCTAAGTTTCTGCCATAGCGTTCGTTGAGAGACCACACATGACGCGACCAGTTTGAAACTTTCAGTTTCAGTTTCATTCATCAGATTCATCAGAAAGTTGCAGTTTCGTTGCAGTTGCGTTTCACCGTCTGTTCTGGGCCCAAATGTAATATACAATTTTGGCCATCATATTGACAGTGGTCTTGGAGGTATATTTTTACCGACTTCAAATAAGAGGTTTTCACTTGCAAGTAAAGAGAACCTACTGATTTCATCTCAGGATCTTTGCTAAGGCTTTGCGAAACGTTTAATTATTTCCGCAATGAGTTAAACTTAAAGTTTA